TGCTGTCCTCATCTTTGTTGTTATATTCACGACGTTTCTGTCGTTGTAAGCTCCGGCCTTTTTCAGACGATTGGAATTTCGAACCGAACCTTTTATTTCCTCCTCAAGGAGCTGCTTGAACTAATCTAAAGACTTGGCTCAAAGAGTTTTGATTATAATAACTGGCTACAGCAGAGCTGAACAAAAACCTGGAGAGTTGAAATACTAAAGGAAAATAACTGAAACTGAAAATGAGATATCCGGAAGCGGCATGGCATGTGGAACTAGAACAATATACCCCGGTGGTCGAAATAAAGGATTCATTTCGAAATTCCAATCACCTGAAGAAGACAGGAGCGTACAACGGCCGACATTTTGTGAATATAGCAAAAATGATGAGGACAACACCCTGAACAATGTAAATATTGTATATGATTAAATTTCCTCATATCGGAAATACAGACAAGGATTAAATCCATGTTTATACATATGCAAACTCACGGCCAATGCCTTCCAAACTCAGCCAAGTGAATACGTTTATAGTGAAACCCTTAGATGATAGTTTAGACATTTCTAAACAAATCAGAAGCTATGCATGACATCCATAGGAAGAGTCTAGATCTGACGGGTCTATTTAAGAACAAGATTTTGTTCCCAGTTTAGTATTTTCGTTTTGTTGCCTTGGACAAAACAGTTTCTAGTACAATCTATACTATGTTCAATTCCTTATATTGTTCAATCTCTTATACTAAATTTGTTATAACTGATCCCGACAGCGATGTAATTGAAGTTTTTTTTTTTCTTTTAGAATGTACCAATTCCGTATTCTGATTTTTTATTAAGAATACAGGATATTGCCATTATTATTCTCATTGCAATTCCTGATCATACGAGTTGCAGATAGCCTGATTGTCCTCTTCTCACTGTTGCAAATGAAATTCCGAACTCAAAATTAAAAATGTTAATGCCGATTTTCAGGACAAGTAATACATCTGCATTTATTTACGCTACCCGACGTAAAGATTCTAGTCATTGTCGTTTAGCACAGCTATATCCAACTGTTGTGTTGCGGCACACTATTGTACCGAGCCATCATCTTAAGTGTACCGCTAAATATTGCCACCGAGTACATTTATATGTGTATAAGTAGCAACAGTACAGCGTTAGTATATGAATTAATGAATGACTAATAAACTTTTTATCTCACATTAGCTAAAAAGGCTTTATCAATTTTATTGCAATTTTCTACTTTTTATTTATGTGAATTAAGCTTCTCAACCTTAAATAACATCAAAAATAAGAAGCGAGAAAGACTACGCTCAATTGAAGAAGAAATGACCGCCTGCTTATCGCACATTCGACAAAACATTGAAGAAATCACGAAAAAACACCAGACACAGGTTTCACACTAAATAAGCTGCACAAATAGTTGAATAGAAACATTGAAATAAAATTTGCGTGTATTAATTTTTTAAATCTATGGTTTTATGTCATCAAATTTATAATTATACCCTTTAAAAATTTTACTAAGTCTGCCGTGATAATGTCCCTTTCCTCCTATGTGTGCCGTTGCTTAAAATTTGTGACAAACAAGAGTTAACATAATCTCAACAACATAAGATACTCTCATGACACTGTTTCCATGGCACGCTCAGAAAGTAACCGAAAGAAGATGTAGACAAGATAGCAAAGGAAAGAAGTAAGAAAGGACTACCTATTGACTGTCAGAAAACATAATGCATGGTTACCAGCAAAAGTGAGAGCCCAAGGGATTAGCTACTTAATGGGCATTGCAAAATCTAGCATGTACAAAAATTTAACTATGTTGTTTAGTAATCATCATCATCATCATCATCATCATCATCATATTCATTTACGTGCCGTTTCTCTTCTGTATTTGGGTGATCATGGCTCTTCACTTTTTCCTGTTCCTTGTAACTAAGTAAAATTTGACTCATTATCATAACCCCTTTTTCTCTGCTAAGCCATCCATTCACACAGAACTCATTAGGTAAGCTACTCGTTGTTTTCCTCAACCGCTCTCCTCTGTGAGTATCAAATTTTCCCAGACGCCCTTCTTCATAATGTTTCACAGGCATTTCAACTGACTCTTTCTGTTTTTATGTACGAGTGTCTTTCTAGTTTCAATACTCTTTAGAGGTTTGCGAGTCTCGTATCAGAGGACGAAAGACGTGACACATGAATCCAAATAGCGAAAGATGCTTCCCAGAATCGAAGCTGATTATTAACGTATAGAAAACGTGATAGGGAACAGAGAAATTATGTTAATGTCACATCTAGTCGTGTTTGTAACTGTGAATACACGATAATCTGCTTGTAGCCGAAAGAAAGAATTTGAACCGCCGGAGATATGACACGACCGACGAACTTTAAGAATCCTATGGCCAGAAGTTGTGAGCAATGAGAAAGTTTTAAAGAAAGTTTGAACAAAAAGTGTAGGTTAAGGGGCACATTTATGAAAGGGGGCTTGGAGAATTTGACACACACAACAAGACATTGAAGGCAACACAAACAAGAGAAAACAGCAAATAAACTAAAATTATTTGTATGAACAGAACAAAAATAGAGATGGTTAAGAACTAAAGATTATTTAGAGAAAAAAAATGACAAGAAGCTGTGGAGTGCCATGATGTCCCTGGTCCTGAATGGAAATATCATATATAAGAACAAGATATTCTTTTCATTCTACTTATACAACATTATGCCGGTCTTAGTTAAGTTTTATAGCTATTTACTAAGTGTAACTTAGATGTGGCATAAGGCAGAATGTATGGAGCACCCAGTGAGGATTGGATTCACTGCTCAGTCGTAATTGATCTAGAAAGACAAACTTGCTAATAATTACGACATATCGAAGTGCCCTTATGATTTTCTAAGCGTAGCTTAGATGTGGCACAATGTGTGGAGCATGGAGTGAGGATCGAACTCACTACTCAGTTGTAATTGATCATCACGTCGAAGTGCCTAAATGTAGCGATTCATTAAGCTTAGATTAGATGTGACACGAAGCCGAAAAACTGGAAGGGGGGGGTAAGGATCGACCTTTCTACTCAGTCGAAATTGCTTTAGCTAGACATTACACCATGTCGAAGTTGTCCTTTTGTTAAGATTAATAACTATCTACTCAAATTGATGGCTAGGTAGCGCTTGACAGAAATAGATATAGTGTTATAGTAAGCTTAGCTTTATTGTCGAACAAGGCCGAGATTAAAAAACATTCTGTGGCGATCGAAAAACGATTTTCTGAGCATAGCCTAGATGTTGTGAAGGGGCACCGCACCCAATGAGGATCTAACTCACTATTCACCCGAAATTGATCTAGCGAGATAAGTTTGCTAACCATCACACCACGTCGAGGTGTCCGATTGGTTAATATTAATAATCATCTACTCAAATAGATCGCGAGACTTCGCTTGACAAAAATAAATACAGGGAAAAGAATCGAAAAAATTCTACAAATTTGCCCTTTTAAAGGAATATTTAAAAATTGTTGGTATGTCTTCTCTCATTTTGGTCTTTTTTATGCATTCAAATCGCCAAAAATAATTTGTTTTACAACAGAGTACTAAAAATAGTAATTTTCTTTACCTTGTACTCAGTAATGGTTGATCGGATATGTGAGATACTCACAAACTAAACTTTCTATAAAGTTCCCGTTACTTGAGTCAGTATATCAAGAAAATTATACCAAAAGTCCGGGAAAAGAATTTCGAGTTAAGAAAAGACTGAACAAATACCGATTTGACTTCTACCATTTTATTCAAATACCTAGACAGACAGTTTTACTTACGCTATAATCCGTTAATTTTAATGCATGTTCCTGATATTTGGTATTTTTTCGAAAAAGATGAATTTGATGTTTCAAAAAGGGACTGTTTAACTGCTCCTTAGGCTGCGACTAATGTCCTTGCCTGATCACGACACATAACGCACTTATTGAGATCAATGTATGTGCGTATTTATTAATCTCGGGACGAAAATATTGTGGAGATAGTGAAAAACGTGACACAGAAATCCGAATAGCGAAGGTGGCTTTCAGAAACGAAGCAAATTATTAAGAAATGTGATAATAAATATCGAAATCACTCTGTCGCATCTGATCTCTTATACGGTTGTGAATACTGGATAAACCCCCTGTAGAAAGAATTTGAAGCGGCAGAGACAGCCCAACCAATAAGCGAATTTGTTTACTCATCCCCCCCACAAGCAAGGCGATATAGCCACTAAGCCGCAAATTGTTACTGAGAGTGAAGGAAACTGAGTAAAAGCCGAGACAGAACAATAAAAGAACAGATCTCAAAGAGAAGATGGTTCAAGTGGCATTTAATTATTGATGATCGTAGTTAACATGAAAGCAAAAACTGAAATAGAATGCCACAATCGCGAAGTGCAAGAGAACAAATTATTACAACAGAAATTACGGTTATATCTAGCAAATTCAACAGTAAAATGATGAGACCTAACTGCCATTCTAGTACTGCGGTTAAATTCATGAAATCAGGCTATCAAAGAGGAAAGCCCATCAGAACAATTACCACGAAAATATTTATAGAAAAGGCTCAAAGAAGTTAAGTTGCCGCGAAAGGAAAGTTATTGAAACCGATATGCCAGATCGAGACGGATTAAATTGCAGATTCTTTTTTGGATTTTATCTTAGATACATAGCAGGAGCACAGAGACCAGATGCGGCAACAATATACAATGTACGGACGAATGGTAGACTTATCAAGGTACTTGATAGAGAAAAAAATATCTAACACGTTACAGTGATTGGTGGTTTTTGTTTAGCGGTATATCAACCTTTAACTTGGAAATAAAATACATTGTTGGTCATATAGCTATAAAATGCATTGTTGATAACTGTCTACTATAAAATGTATTGTTGGTCATTTTGTTTTAAAAATGTATTCTTAATTTTACTATAAATAAGTACTGTTAGCAATTTTACTCTAAATATTTATTGTTGGTAATTTATATATATATAAAAAGATGAGGAGGACGAGGACGAGGAGAAAAAAGAAGAAGAAGAAGAAGAAGAAGAAGAAGAAGAAGAAGAAGAAGAAGAAGAAGAAGGAAGACAACGAAGAAAATAAAGAAGAGCGTGAAGAGAGAAAAAGGAGAAAAGAGGAGGAGAAAGGAGAAGAAAAAGAGGAGGACGAAGAAAAACGATGAAGAAGAAAAAGAAGCAGAGGATGAAGAGAAAAAAGAGACAAAAGAGAAAGAAGAAGAAGACGTTGAGGAAGAAAAAGAAGACGGGGAGAAAGAGGGAAGAAGAAAAAGAAGACGAAGAAGAGTAAGAGAGAAGACAGCGAGGAATAAATAGAAGAGGAGGAGGAATAGAGAAGAAGAAGAAAAAGAAGGGTAGGAGGATGTAGAATGCTTTCAAAAGTAGAGTACACATTTACTGATTTAAGCGATTTGCTGAACGTACAAGACCAGTTTTTAACGTGGGACGTTCCGAGCCCGTAGGCTCGGGCAAAAATTGCTCATAGACCCCGAATGCACGGGATCGGGTTTGTCTACCTCCCCAAACAAGACTCTGCCCTTCGGCATAGTCACGTCTGGGTTTCTCTCCACCCGGAGGCAGATAGTTCGACAAGAGAGGAAGAGAAAGGGAAAGCCTCATCCACATACACTGGATGTTTGAGATTTCAATCTCTTCGTATTGGTTAACTAAGATTTGTGCATTTTCTGTACGTTCCTCTTATAAATATAAACACCTGAAGCGATTCTAAGATGGTAAATATAGAGCAATAACGCTAACTTAAACTTTAGGTTTTTCGTTGATCGATGATATCGCTAAAGTAGCGGAACCATATTTGCAAATAATTTAAAACCAAAATGGTAGAATAATGCCTTTCTAAACGGATACTTTCAAAGTGAAAGACCCTTGCATTTGCATATGATCAAACCTAGTACTTCACATTTTACTTCCAACGTTAGTCATAGTGTGCCCAATATTTAATACAGACATAAACTAAGCTAACTTTTCAAAAATGAAGTTGGCACGCATGCGCAATGAGATATACATTGGACATTGCACGCAACGAAGTGAAAAAAAAGTTGATATAGCCATAGCACTGACGCCAGTATACACGTCACGTTTACAAACTAAGAAAAAGCAAAGCAGAATTTATAAACTGAAATATATTTCCGAAAGATTCTACTGAAATTTCATACGAAGCAAAATAAATAGAGAAAAATGGCAAATTTATAAAGATTTTTTTTTACTTCTGCCTCATTCATTATTTCTTTCTATCTATCGATATATGTTCAGATCTATTCATCTAAGTCTCTTCATTATCTCTCTGTCTACACACACACACACACACACACACATATATATATATATATATATATATATATATATATATATATATATATATATCACTTTGTCCATATCTCAACCTATCCATTTCTATCTAAGTTTCTTCATTATATACCTCTCTCTCCCTCTCTGTCTATCATATCATATCATATCATATCTATCTATCTATCTATCTATCTATCTATCAATCTCGATCGGCTCATTATCTATCTATCTATCTATCTATCTATCTGGACTCTCCCATCGTATTCGACGTATGAGGGTTAGTCAGCTAAGTGTTTTAAGAACTGGCAGCCAGACACCAGTACATATGATTTGATTAAAAAGGTGAAGGCTTTGTGCACAACCGACGAGTACTTTTTGAAGGTCTGAATACAGAGACCTGGCGGACTCTGTGCCACCATGTCCCCAAACATCCCTCCGCGGGTTTTGAATTCACAGTTACCCATCTTTTAGACCAGTTACCATCCATACAACCTAATCTGTCCTGCTATTTACCCATAGTTGGAGGGAGAAGAGGATTAATACCTTTCCCAAGGATATTAGCACCTAAATGAATGTAATGGATTCAAATGTAATTCGAAATCGGCTATCCGCTACTCTACCATGCCTCCCCTCTCTCGCTCTGTGCATATATATATATATATATATATATATATATATATATATATATATATATATTAGTCTGTCCATTTATATCTATCAATCTATCTATGAGAAAAACGATGAAATTCTAAAGTACGAACGCGTCACACGTTGTTATAGTCCCCTTTATTTGTTCGTTTGATTCTTTCAATCAACGTTTATTTTCTCGTATACAATGCTGGGCTTTCCTACATATTTAATTAAATAGAAACAAATTTAAACAGCCCCATGTTTTTCAATGTGTAAACTAATTTGTAGATGTTTTATTTTTCAAGAATTCTCATATCCTTATCGTTTATGCGTTCATACGCATTAATAATTCTCTTGTGGAAAGTGATAATTTTATTTTATTTAATTGAAACTCATGGTTACATCTAAAATGCGCATGCGACGCTATTTCTTGTTCGTCTTTAATATAGGTAAACGCACAGCGGAACCAAAAAAAAATGGATGCCAAAGACGCCACGACGAATGTGAAACACATCGACAGAGACAATATATGTGCAATGGTGCAGAGTCCTGTTGCCAGACATTGTGTCTTATATATCATTATATTCATATTTATCTGTGTAATTCTATTCACATCTATATATCTACAGATTGTGATGGATAAACTGTCGTCTAAATTACGCAAAAATGAAAATAACACTGGCATTTCATTTTAAACGATATATTTAACAAAATTACACAAAAATATATTGAAATCCTAAAGATCAGCGTACATATAAGCTTTAGATCAAAAATAAAATTCTTTTCGTTTTTCATTCAAAATACTCAAATTTTGGGAATACGTTTTCACAACATCGCCCACGTGACTACGACGTGATCATATTTAAACGGAACGATGATCTTATAAAAGATTTCAGTTATCTGTTTGGATTGGTATTGCTTTTATGTCCATCGTCTTTTTCATGTTGAATTGTATATGGTCTATGTTAATTATGTCTTATGAATATGTCCTGAAGATGGTCTATTAGACCGAAACGTCCGACGTTGACATTAAAACAGCATAATCGCATATTAGGATTTTTGTTTGTTTTTCAGTATATTTTTCTTCATATATATATATATATATATTAAGAAATGGACAAGGTCCGACAATTTATTTATTAAAGACATTTTTTTTTATGTTTAACGTTGTTATTTATGGATACAAGTATTTAAGTAAATGCTCTGTTTATAATAAACAGTATTAAATAACATTTACCGGCCTGAATGTCCGAGGAATTTTCAGAGAAAATATTCGTTCTTTGACAGGATTCGAACCTGCATCCTATACGGAACCGTCATTTACGCTGACGTGCCTTAGCTCTGGGCCACAAAGAACCATTTCGGTAGACAAGGTCGAATTTACTGCTTATATATATCCGTATAGGATGCAGGTTCGAATCCTGTCAAAGAACGAATATTTTTATGAAAATTTCTCGGACATTCAGGCCGGTAAATGTTATTTAATACTGTTTATCATAAACAGAGCATTTGCTTAAATACTTGTATCTATAAATAACAACGTTAAACATAAAAAAGTCTTTTAATAAATAATATATATATATATATATATATATATATATATATATATATATATATATATATATATATATATATATATATATATATATATATAATAAAAGAAAATAGGAAAACTGTAATAGTTGCCGACGCTTTTCGTCTGATGTGGACTTTTTCAAGGCGAAACGAAATGAATTTATTAAACGAAGTAACTAATAATAACAAAACAAAATGTCCTTAGCAACAGGAGGAATTTAGAGAACGCTATTTTCATACTGTTAACTGAAATTGCGTCAATTACTGTTTGGAGATATTGTTTTTGTTGCTGTGTTGACGGATTCAACCATTTTCTTTTGGTTTCTTGATACTGTTCTGTACGTTTGTTTAGGAGAGTAGTAATTCTGTTACTAAAGGTGAAATAGGGAAAAAAACCTGGGCGTAGATTAATATTTGGGTAATATTCAATGGCAGCAATCTCCAGGATTTTCCTACTGAGGGAGTTATTTTCTTTCTTTAAGAGTGTAGCATTTTTAAAATCAAAATTGTGGTTGAATTTATTTCTTTGTATGACTAGTGCGTTAATTAAGTTTTTTTTGTGAGGTCTCTTTTGTCCTGATAAATGCGTTTTTTTAAATTTCTACTTGTTTCACCAATATATTGGGAGGAACAGTTTTGGCAATTTATTTATAGATGACTGCTTCAGAAATATTATTGTTATTAGTGTTTGAGGATCTGAGTATATGTATAATGATTTTGGAAATGTTTGTGACTATTTTAAGATTATTTTGATGGGATAGTTTGTTCTGGATAGTGGACGTGAGAGAGATGATCGGTAGGATTATGCATCTGTTTTCATGTAATTTATTATTGCGGATTATGTTATTTTTGTTTCGGTTGTATATTTAGTATATCTTTCTTCTTGCGTTGTGGATGAAATAATATGTGTATTGAAGGTTTTTGAATGTGTTTTCTATGTATGTTTCTTCTTTAGGTAAATATTGGGGACTGCAGATTCATAATGCTCTTAGATAGAAACCTATAATAATTCCAGATTTAATTTTAGAAGAGTGGTTGGAGTAGAAACTGATCAGATCAATTTTGTTTGTAGCCTTTCTGGAAACGTCAAAATTGAGTTCGTTATTATTTCAATGTAATATGATGTCTAGGAACGGAAGAGTGGAGTTGCTTTCAGTTTCAAGACTTAATTTTATTGTAGGTTCAACGTTAAGTTTGGAGAGAAGATTGGTATTTTGTGGATATTTAACGGATCTTCTCTCCAAACTTAACAACGTTAACATTCACTGTCGTGTGACGATGGCCTAGAGTTAAGTGATCTGACTGATGTCGGTTTGAAACAATCGGACATCTTGCCACACTGAGAAGCTGTGATACAGCGAAACACTGTCTGTGGATTACATTATATATATATATATATATATATATATATATATATATATATATATATATATAGTGTGTGTGTGTGTGTGTTGTTTTAAAAAGATATTTTTTGTGTTCATGTGATATTTTATTTAAATTCCTTGGAGTTTCTCCTATGTATTCCTTGTGGAAATTAATACAGGTGATTAAGTAAATCCTCCCTTCAAGTTTTAAGCTTGTAATGAGATTGGCAAATAGGATTTTAACTGTTTGTAAAAATATAAAATAGCGACAATTTATCCATCGCACCCTCTCTCTCTGTCCAACTCATTCTATTCATATCTATCCCAGTCTGTTCCCATCTATCTATCTATCTATCTATCTATCTATCTATCTATCTATCTATCTATCTATCTGTCTGATTGCCTTCAAACGAACATGTCTGGTCACTTCCAATAAAACACTCCTGTCATCCATTCCTCTATCCATTTCTTCCTTTCTGTTTCCGGTGTCGTCCAGAGTTGATCGATTAAGGCTTTTCC